GTATATTTCCCTATTTATTTGCACTCAACTCCATGGATGATATCCTCTTCCATGGAAACCAATGTGATTCTCACTATGTTGTAGAAATCATAGCATTTTTAGAACATATATTTATCAACACATTTTAATATTTCAATTAGCCATATCGAAAAGTAAAGGAAAATCGAAGTTCAAATCATCACAAATTATTGACATTTAAAACCATATAAAATAAAATCAATTCTTCACAAAATCATATCTCAAGGTAGGGAGAAGAATGAAGAAGATTACTCAGAATTCATGAGAAGGAAACAACAAAACACAAATTTCATATATAAAAATGAGTTTATAAAATAAAGAAATAAAAGAACACAACTTATCTCACAAGACTTCCCAAGAAAATCCCTAGAAGTTCTCTTCAAGCACTTTCCCTCTTTACAAGCACTACCTATTCTCTCTTAAAAGTGTAATGAGGAAGAAATCTCTCACATTTCATCTCCTCTTACAATCCTTGAAGAAAATCTCCAAACCCTTGACTTTCTCTCTCTCTGTCACTTGTTTTCTTCAAAAATCTCTAACACACCTCTTCTTCACACACTTCCTCTTAAAGCCCTAGAGTTTCCTCTCTTTTATTAGAGTTAGCTCCCTCTAAAAAGAATTCAAAATTCTCTCTAAATGTCTATCCAAAAGTCAACCTTTTTGAATTCAAAAGACATGTCTATTGATCCAAGAGACATATCCCTTCATAAAAGAACCTTCCAAATACATTGAGTCACTTCATGGGACATTTAGAACAAGGGTCCCTTTCAAAATTCAAGCAAAATTCATCTCGAACTGCATTAATCAGCAAAAAGTTGTCTTTGGTGTCAACTCTCTGTAAAATGGCACTTCAGGCGCAAGAATCTCAAAACTCACTGTTTTGGCTCCAAATTTCATTCTTTTTGCTTCATCTACTTCAAATGCCTAAAATAAATATGTCTGCAACAAAAAATTAAAATACCTTTCTTTTTTCTTTAAAGTACAATATCACAAAAAATAAGAATAAAATGTATACTTAACTTTCTTTAAAGTACAATATCACAACAAATAAGAATAAAATGTATACTTAAAATAACACCTTATTTTGGTGTATCAGACGTCGGTCGTTTGTCTTCAGTAACCTGTCGACGCTATTTTAGGTTGGTGGGGAGTTGCCCGTAAGAAGCTGTCGGTCATCGGAATCAAAATCTCTTCGCCCGCTTCAGAAGGACGTTGAAGTTTAGAAAAGTATAAAAATCAAACTGATCTCATATTTTTCATAGTTTAAATGAAAGAGCGTTGTACCTCAAATCATGTATCTATCCCGAAGGATAAACACAAGACTTGAGGATGAGGTTGGATCAAATAAACTAAGGAATATATGACGTTCGTTTGGTCTGTGAAACCTTTGTATTTGCCAACAAGTTCTTCTATTTAATATAAAGGATTAAATAGGGTTTATTTTAAGCTAGGTTCAGACATGCTTCCTATAAGGGCAAGCTTCTATAGTTAATTGCATCTTAAATGACCAAAGCCACCTAAGAAAACTCTCGATAAAAATCATGAAATATTATCTTCAAGGAGTTTCAACGGGTAGGGATTTTCAATGAGATCGGACGTAGATGTGTGAAAGGGGATTGGTTCAAATTTGGAACATTTTGTTGTAGAATCCAAAGGAGGAAGAACTAGGGGATATCATGGATTCAGAGGAGAACCCCGGTGACTTCCCAAGCTATCCTAATGTTTGGCTTTAGTTTTGAGGAGAAAAATTTAAGTATTTCATCTTGACAATTGTTTTAGTTAGGGCTTACATTCATGTGAAACGATCGCACAAATAGCCTAGAAGATGTGAGGATTTAGGTCGTGACAAATTTTAACCTCGGAATCCTAATAGCCTAGAAGATGTGAGGATTTAGGTCGTGACAAATGACAACCTCGGAATCCTAAGATGAGTTGGGCTATGCATTGTATGGCAGGGCTATGCAAAGGCCTAAAGATAAGGCTAGGATTTACGTTGCATAAGCAAGCAACCTCGAAGAAGTAACCTCGAAGTCCTATGGCTTTGTTGTTTAAGTGTAAGGAATGAAGATTGGTTCAGCTGGAGAAGACAAGTTTTTCTGTTGAAGATGGTCGTGCTGCCCACCATGCTAGCTCCAAGCTTCTTGCCGCAACGAGTTTGAGTTTTCTAGTGTATTAAGTTATAATGTCAAATCAGGTGGCCCTATGGTTGAAGTTCTTTAAATTTTATGGGGACATATTAAAGTTGATTAGAGCGACACCGGTTAGGATCCTACGGTTCCCTCGTTCCGACACCATTATTTTCTATTTCTACTTCTAACTTCTTACATATATGTTACCTTCTTATGAATTTATAACTGATAAGCATCAACCATCAAAAGTATATTACAATAATATCCAAACAATGACCCTTTTATACAACCCGATATTTTATGCCTTCACCAATCATATTGATATTGATTACCATTTCATTCCACATCAAATCCAATCCAACTAACATCAAATCTCTTATAATAGTACCAAGGATTAACTTGTCAAATTTTTACCAAAACGCTAGCCAAATAACACCTCAATATTTTCAATCCAATCTTTAAGTCCTCTCCAAACCAATCACATTACTTGAGGATAACAATCATACTGCACCCACTACACAAAAGAATAACGAACTGACTGTATCCTAGACGTGAAAATGTAATTAAGTGATCCACAATATTGAGCTAAGATCTACATTATTTTCCTTTTTGAATCTTCTTACTATCTTATATATAGACAATATTATATCAAACAACAACTTAATGAAAAATTCATTCTCTAAAATTGCTCTCCTTTAGTCTAAGTTATCCCACAATTACCTTCAACAATTTTTTGTAGAAAAACTCACAATCATACTAAAGTTTATTTAGCTACAATAAAAAGATATATATAAAGTTAATGATTAATAATTAAGTTTGACTAACTATTCAAGCAATGCATAGCTAATAGAATCTAATTTTAAGAAATTTATTAATTTTGTTTGTTGCATGCTAGTAAATTCACATCAATAGACCGTTATATTAACGTCCTGGTGTTGAAAGAAAATCTAGCACACACACACACACATAAAAAAAATTGGTAGAGAGAACAACAAGAGCTTTTACATTGAAAACCCCAAGAATAAAAATCACAAAGTTTAGCTAATTTGAAATGATTTCACTCTTGAGATAGGTCCTTGAATACACAAAAGTAATGTTACATAAGAGGTGATTATCGATGTGAATTTCACTAAGTGAGTGGTGGAATATGTTAGGGAGGTAGCTGTAACTCAAGTGCTATGAAGGATAACCAATGGTGGAGGTGTTCTAGAAATTTTTTTTTTAATATCGTAAGAGGTCCGATGACGAAGTCTATGGTGATTGAGCAGTAGTGCTCCTACAGTTGCGACAACCCGATTATTGTGGTTGGGTGTCAGTGACGGTGGTAGTATGACTGTTGTGATCTGACAACAGTGGCTGCTAGATGGCAGTGGTCTGATGTCAATAACGGTAATGTCCATGTTGCGGAGGTTTGACAGTGAAGAAGGTCAAACGGGGGTGGTCAAACAACGGCGATAGTGGTGGCTTGGCAACACTAGTCCGATGGAAGCATTTTGACCATGGAATCAAATCAATGGCTATGATCTAACGGGAACGATGATGGTGGTCATGTAATAGTTGTCCGATGATGGTGGTGATAGTGTTAGCCATGCAACAGTGGTCTGACGATGGTGGTAGTCAGACGATAGTGGTCTTGTGATGGCTTTGGTGGTGATCAGGCAATCGTCATTTGATAATGGCTGCGAGACGATGAGGGTGGCGACCAGACGATAATGGTCTGGTGTTGGCAACGATGGTGGTCTAATGGCAATGGTGGTCGGGCTACCGTGGTATGGCGGCAATGGTGGCTAGACAGTGGTGGTCTAATGGTTGTGAAGGCAGTGGAAGTCTAATAATGGTGGCAGCCCAACGATGGTGGCCAGACGGTGGTAGAGATGAGGAACCCTCAATAGTGTAGAGCTCTTTAAGTTTCTCCTTGGAGTTCAGAGCTTTTCTCATGAAGAGAGTGGCAGTCAATTTATAGATTTAGTGAGTGGCATTTTTTTTTTTAATATTACATGAATTTGAACCACTCCATCGGACGATCTAGAATTATTACTTTGAAAAAATTATATTTTATGAGTATTTAAGTTCCTTAATGAAGTTTGAATTTAGTGATTTTGAACTCATTAGATTTGTCTTGTCGAGATATAAGATTTAACTATAAACCTATCATATTTTGAGATCATTTGGCTCTAAAGAATACATCTCAAATATTGATAATAAGCTTTAAGATCATGTTCTGACCTCACGTAGACTCTCATCTAGCTTTGCTAAATTTTTGCTAGTCCATATGATGAAGATATTTCATTTTAGTTGGAGTATAAGTAATTAAAAATTTGGGCGGGATTCGTGCACTACGGGATAGTTTTTTGGTGACGTATCATTGATCTTCTTTTGATAAGTAAATGTGTAGGAATTTAATTATTCATAAATCTACTCTTTACATGATCTTTGAATTTGATAAATCAAAACCATACGCTACGGCGTGTCATATTTTAGAATGGAGAACTCGTAGAAATCGAAAAAACAAGAAATAAGTGTAAACCATAAAATTAAAATTTAATGAGCAACAAAAATATATATATATATATATATATATAACTAAATAATAAAAATAGAGCAATCTACGGAAACCTACATAAATTCCCCATTTTTTCTTCTTTCCACCCACCACTTCACAACGATATCCTCAAACAAAAACTTTGTTAACAAGATTAAATTAACCCCACGATACAAGTCAAATTGTTACGTGCAATCACTAAAAACCCGATGCTTTGGTAACAAGAACGCATTTGCCCATTCTTCTTACATAAGAAAGACAATGTTCAATTCCATAAAAGATTACTAAACAGTGAATGTTGGTGAATTAAATCATCTATATATTAACAAGCTCACACACTATTGATCAGAAAAATAAACAAAGCATACATATTGAATCAAATGGCGAGCTTGAGCTGCCGCTTCATTCTTATTGTGACGTTCTCTTGCTGGATTAATTTGTCGTTATCAGAGCTTTCGCCAGATTTCTATGGCAATATTTGCCCGCAGTTATTGCCCGCCATCCGGCTCGTTGTCTTCTCTGCCATTGCTAAAGAACCGAGAATAGGCGCTTCGCTTGTCCGGCTGCACTTCCATGATTGCTTCGTTAATGTGAGATTCCAAAATTTAATTTTAGCTTACTTCAAAATTAATAGGCTTAACTTAAAATCTAAGCATTACAAAATACATGTTCTAGCTTGAGCTCAAGCTCAGCTCGCATTACATGCTTAACTTAAAATCTAAGCATTACAAAATACATGTTCTAGCTTGAGCTCAAGCTCAGCTCGCATTACATGCTTAACTTAAAATCTAAGCATTACAAAATACATGTTCTAGCTTGAGCTCAAGCTCAGCTCGCATTACAAATAGTCGGTTGCTTGCAGGCCGGCCAATAAGCTCAAATGAAATAGCCATGAGAGCTTATCAAATTAGAAACCATCTAAGGGATGGATGGCATGAGGGATGGGGAAGTGATGCAATAGCTTGTCGGTGAAGGTATTGATGTGGTTGTAATTAAGCTAGTTGAGCAAGCTCACAAACCAATGAGTCAAGTTTCGGCGACCTCAAGGTTGAGCTTATTTAACAAATGAGCTTGAGTTTGAATTTGATCTTGAGCTCACCGCTCTATAAGTTTGAATTGCAACTAGGCTAGCCCGAGCCGACATGGCTCACTTACATATCTAATGGTGAACATATATATCGGATAGGGAAGTTTCCATTAATCAAAAGGGATTGCATGTATTGCTAATTTATTTTATTTTATAATTCTATGATGCCCGATGCATGGATTTAAAAAAATGAGAACTAAATGGATGCGTTCAAATGTTTTTTTACTGGTGATTTTCTGCTCAGTTTTATTAATTAATAATAAGAAAGATAATTTGCATCATCATTTCGACTAATTTATGCACACATAAGTAAATCTCATGTTATCATTTAAACGATTTCATTGCTTTATTTCCCCTAAGGTAAACCGACGAGTGAACACTAATTTTAATTCTCTACTTTTATTTTCCTTGGGCATTTTCATTGCCAAAGCCTCGTTTTCAAATCCAATCAAACCCATGGGCTAAGGCTATTTTATTCCCCTAATTGTTCCTTGCTTGTTTTCTTTGCTGGGAACGCCAGTATTTCGTTTTGGACGAGTTGAGAAATTTTCCTCCCCTGATGAGCAGGTGCAGTTGTACTCAGCAAGGGCAATAATTTAAATCAACAGAAAAAATTGTTACTTGATGAAATTGAAGAGTGTCCGACTAAAATACATTTATAGAAAGCATTCATCTAGTATTTTTTTTCGTAGCCATCATATAACTTGTGAAGACAGTATGCCGCACGTCATAATAAAAATAAATTATTTGGCTATATCATATTTTTCTCGGAGGACTTGTAAATAAAGTTATACTTAAGTTCCGTTCAGGAACTCAAAATATTGCTTAATAACATCCTATCATAAATGCTGTTGAAAGTTGTCATTGAATTATAAAAAGTTAAGAGAGAGAAAGATATATATATATA